TCAGAGAAACTGATGTAAGTATATTAAAAAAGGAAAAAAATTGCCGTTTTTAATTTCATTTTCCTAGTGCATACTAGGAAAAAATTATATTTTTATTTGCAATTTTTAAATAAATAAATATTTCGAAAACCAGATGTGAAAGTTTTTTACTATGGATAACTCTTACTTAATTTGGCTAGGGTATGAAAACCATGTCAAGTAGTGTTTTTGTTAAAATAACCATCATCCTAAATATTACTAAAATAATATAATATATTTGCTCATAAAGTTCAAGTATTTTATCTTACAATGTATATAATGAATAAAATTCATATAAGCTTCATTTTATACTGATTAATTGATATAACCGTTATTTTATGTAATCATGTTAAGAATAAAATATAACACTATAACATATTATTAGATAGATCAAACTCGATCATAGTAGGGTCGAAATCTTTGTAACAAAACTGATTAAGTTAATTTTATGTAAAGGTTTGATATTCATAAAGGTACTTATCATTCAATTAGGTTAGGTTAGAACTGTGACCAAAACAAAATGAGAGTCGAGCGAGCAAAGCGAGCGTACCGCGGAAGCGGCCGGCGAGCGCCATTTATGAGTTATTTAGTAAGAGGATTTTACGGTCATCGTTTACTCAACATCAAAAGGAGTTCAAGAACGACTTTTGATTTTTAGATGATTTTATTTCAAATTAGATGAAATAAACCTTACACGTTTTATAGGTACCTATAATTCTTATTTCAAAGGTTTATTATTTTAAATACATTTTATGAGTTTTAAATTTTATATGAAGTGAACTACTAACGGGTTGGCTAATAAGTAATGAGCGTTTTAATTTTTATTTTCTAGAAACTTTGCGTAATACCGAGAACGTTCTATGGTGGGGGTATATAAAGAGCGAGTTGTGATCATGCACGCCAGTAATATTTCGAATGTTGTTGCGTTAACTTCAACAAAAAAATGAACGATATAAAAAACCCATGTCGGACATTGTTTATTATATGAGTTTATTATGTGATTTATTATCTGACCATTCCGCTGCAGAAGCTGCCCGTAATATATGCCAATGACGCAGTCTCCGAGGCAAAAGCAAAGTGGTGGTTGTAATGATTCCGCAGTGGAGATAGATTAACCGAGGTCTGAGCGTCCAATAGAAACAAATATATAAAAATTGAAGGCATTAATTGAAGAAGATTATAGACACAGCATACATGATTTGGCTGAAGAACTTAGTTGCTTTTAGAAAATCATTCGCATGCATTAGGAAAGTCTTACATATTTGGCGTTTGGGCACCCCATCAGCTGACCAAGGATCGACTCTCTTAAAGATATGTGTACATCTACTATCATTTCATCATACTTTCAACTGGCTAGCTAGACCATCTCGTCACTGGAGGCGAAAAGTAGGTTATGTATGTTAAGCATTCATGCAAACCAGTGGCTAGGCCGCAACGAACTAGGCAAACCTACGCCAAAAAAAGATCTTCATCCTCGCAAGGTAATGGTTTCGATAAAGTGGGATGTGTGCATGGAGTAATATACTGGGAAATTCTTCCTATCAATTTAAGGGTCACAGTGAACGTGTACTGTAATCAACTCGATAATCTGAAGCTTGAACTTCATCGTAAGCGTCCAAAACATGACAAAATATTTTTCGTCCATGATATTGCCCGACCGCATATTGCTAAGAGTACACGACAGAAACTATTGGAGCTGAACTGGGAAATAGTTCCACATCCTTCGTATTCACTGGACTTAGCGCCAACAGATTTTAGTTTATTCCGGTCACTTAGTAATAATTTGCGTGAAAAAAGTTTTCATGATGGTAGATAACGATTGTGATTACATTGTCAATGATTAGCTATTATTTAATAAAAAAATAAATAAATAATTTTGTTACTCGCGTCGTTCATTATTCATTAGCCAACCCGATATAAGAATTGAATATTATAGGATATTATCATTGATATGTAAATTGATTTTTATACTAAATGTTATTATATAATGTATAGTATTACAAAGCACTGACTCAAAAATTATGAATTAATTACGGGTTTTAAAAATTATAAAATTATAAATTCATGCTGTAGGATAAATGCCATACGAGGGGGGGTCTTTAATAATAATAAATAATTATTTTCATTTCATTTCATTTCAATCTGCTATGGAGGATGCATTTAAATTAATTTGCAAAGTTGATAAAAAAGTAGTGATAAGTGGTGATTTTAATATTGATATTTTAATAAAATATGCTAAAAAATGTAGATTTTTGAAATTGTTTAAATGTTTTAATTTAGAAAATATTTTTAATGAACCTACCCGCATTTCACCCACATCTGCTACTTGCTTAGATAATATTTTTTGTAAATGTAAGGTGTTCCAATAATCGATAATAAATTGTATTCGATCTGACCATAGCGGAGTTCTAGCAACTTTCGAGCACCATCATGTTTCTCCTAAGTGCAATATAATTTGTAGACCTATTACCAAAAGTAATTTAGAAAAATTTAAAAACACTGTTTCTGCAAATCAGACTCAGTTGACAACTAGTAATTTGGAAAATATAAATGATATCTATAATATTTTTTTTAACTTGATAAAGGGAGAATTTGATAAAACATTGTAACTCAAAACGATTAACTTTAACAACCAAAAAAAGAAATTTAGTGATTGGGCTACACCTGGCATCTACAAAAGTCAAAATAGGCTGTATGATTTGTATGTGCTAAAGTGTACCTCGACCGATCCAAAGTTTATTGAATATGTCAGAAATTATTCAAAAATTTTTAGGAAAGTATGTGTTTCAGCAAAAGCAAAATATATTTCTGAAAAAATTTACAATTCAGAAAATAAAATAAAAACAACCTGGACTATCATAAATCAAGAAACGGGTAAAAATAAAAGTAATATGCGCACATACTCGAAATCTGCAGGGGCACCAGTTACTATGGGCATACCTCAGGGATCGGTATTAGGACCATTGCTTTTTCTAATTTATATTAATGATCTTCCTCACTTTACGAAGAAATTGTGCGAGACAGTATTATTTGCAGATGACACCTCTTTACTGTTTAAAGTTGAGAGGGGTAATGACTGTTTTGACGATGTAAATAATGCTCTCGACAATGTTATATAGTGGTTTGATAATAATAATTTAAAGCTCAATTCATATAAAACGAAATGCATAAAGTTTGCATTTCCTAATGTGAGGCATGTCACACTTATAAACACTTATAAATGTAAATAGTGAAAAAGTTGAGTTAGTAAAATCGACAAAGTTCCTTGGTATTACACTAAATTGCCCGACTGCAATGGGATCCTCATATTGATAGCTTGTCAGGTAGACTGAGTTCTGCAGCTTTTGCTGTTAAGAAATTTAGACTCTTGACAAATGTTGAAACTGCAAGATTGGATATTTTAGTTATTTTCATAGTGTAATGACGTATGGTATATTGTTGTGGGGTTCTGCGGCTAGCATTCAGGATATTTTTATCCTACAAAAGAGAGCTGTCAATGCTATATATAATTTACGGTCTAGGGAATCTCTCAGAGAAATATTTAAAGAAATAAATATTCTCACTGTTGCCTCTCAATACATCTATGAGAATATTATGTACACAAGAAAACATTACGATTCCTTCACAAAAAAGTAGTGTTCATAATCTTAACACAAGAAATAAAAATCAACTTGCCATTCCTGTCTGTCAGTCTGAAGCTTGACTTCAAAAAACCAGAGGATCATTTCTGGGTTAATGTATTGCTATGTTCAATAAAGTTCCACAAAATGTAATCGAGCTACCCATTAATAAATTTCAAATTCATGTAAAGAATAGTCTTATGAGTAAAGGTTATTATAAAGTTGATGATTATTTTAAGGACCGCGATTCATGGAATTAATAGCCTTCGCTCTGTTCTATAACGATTAATTATAGGTATATTATTATAGGTATATGTCCTACAGACTTTGAAACTTGTATTTATTATTGTTCAATATATGTATTATTTTGGTAATGACATGATTTATGTGAATGTCATTACTTATGATAAAAGCTGGTAAGTTTCCTTCGCTTGTTCTTCTTGTCAGCTAAAAGACGTCCTGAACAAGTGGTAGGGGAAAAAATATTTTTGGACGATTCAAAAGTGCTTGTAACAAGCTTACTTGAATAAAAACATTTTCATTTCATTTCATTTCAATGTGAATTTAGATTAATTGAATGTTATATGCCTAAAAGATTAAGCCACATAAGTTTTATTTTTAAAAAAATCAAAGAAAATTAATTGAACGGTATTTCTTTCGAATTTGTATTGTTAAAAATTATTTTTTCCGTTCAATATATGAAATAATCCATACATAAAACAATATTATGATATTCGAAGGTCGAGGTTGAAAATGTTATATATTTTGTTATTATGCCATATATTATACACACGAATAATGATCATATCCATGCCACTCGGTTCCAAAAAGCTTTATAGCTTTAACGCGTGCTATATCCCTTGCGAGGTAGGCAAAAAAAGGAACTGGCCGGTACAGTCTTCCCTTCTTTGAGTTTGACATCTATAACTCTTTTTATACGCCCTCGCCGGTTTAATGGATGTCAAAACCTTCGGTAAGCACAAGGAACTGGCAGGTGCAATCTTAACTGGCGTCTTTCCCTTCTTTGAGTTTGACATGTGTATAACTCTTTTAACATTCGTCAAAACCCTTGGGTAGGCAAAAGGAACTGGCCGGTACAGTCTTTAACACGCGTCTTTCCCTTCTTTGAGTTTGACATTTATAACTCTTTTTACTCGCCCTCATTGGCTTTATGGAAGTCAAAACCTTATAACAACGTGATCTATTTCATCGTGAAAGGCGTCATCATGCCTCTTAATGTCTCCACAGGCATTGCTTAGGGACGGAATCAACTCCAACTCTGACTGAAGTCATTGCAGTTCACATATTGTTTAAAAATTAATAAAATATATACATTTTCATCATGCAGGCCCTCTTAAACTCATGAATATAGTTCAAAAAGGGCATGAGTTTATTCAAGAGAGATCATGTCTTCACTTTCGAGAGCACGACCCAGTTGCACTAGCCAGACAGACTAACATCACTTACCTGTATTATACCTTCTCTGAAGTTTTGGAGAGCTGCTGCTTAAAGTTCTATAACAAACCACGTGGTCGAAGGGTATGTATACAAATATTTGTTTGATTACGTTATTATTACATTAAATGAAATGTTTTGAATGTAGAATTTGATTTTCCATGCTACTAAATGTCATAGAAATAACAATTTATTTTCGAAAAAGTTCAAGTCAGACATATAAAAAGTTAATATTATTAGCACATTTAAAACTAAAATAACAACCTTCTAAATCTTCATTTACTCGTATATTACTCAGGAATTGGTTCAACTTTGAATATTTTTTTTTTGTTTAACAACAAACTCTAAAAACTGGTAAATTCTGACACATCAGAAATAATTTAAATTTGTTGTTATGAAGGTTGAATTTTCCAAAATTCTTATGTATTTAATTATTTAAGCTCAAAATTCAAATTTTTTATCCGCCTTTAGACGTTTATTTGAGTAGGTGATATTGAATCCTTATTGAAAATGTTATGCTTATCATCAAAGAAATTTTACTACACATAAAAATTATCTTTTACACCAAATTAATTAGATGAGTAGTTTGGATTTTACCACAATGTTTTTGTGAAAAGGAAATTACACATCCTGCTGATGTTCTAAACACAATTTCATGTGTATCTATTATTATTTAACATGTATCCGATAACTTTTATATTTATTAGGACTCTAGTAATTATATTATTTTTTGTAATAAAAATAATGGAAGCAACGATGGTTAAAGGAGCGTTTAGTAACTAGAAACACCTATTCGAGCTGAGTTTTGCAGTCTACATTTCCAAGAAAATTATCCAAAATAGTGAAGAGCTTTGATAGTTTTGGAGAAGGATGAAAAAGATTAGCTGGATGGAAATACAATCGGAATAAGTAGTAATACCGTAAGTAAGACGGAATAAGTACTGGGAATCATCAACAAAAGAGTCGCCTAAAAATTTCAGGAATAAACCTTCAATTTAACTTCAAGGAGGTGGGTTCACCATGAGTTGTGATATTTTGGTAACTTTACCTGTTTGTTAAATGCGAAAGTAACTCGGTCTAGTAACATTAAATTAAGATTTGGTATGAAAAAGTATGAGACACCAAACAAGATATGGAATAGATTCTATACGAATCCTATGTAAGGATTTAAAGACCGGTAGAAATTTGTTTAAAATACATTATTTTTATTATACATACATCTAATTTTCTTTACAATCAATAATTCGTTCATATTAATTTATAAATAATGTAAACTTGGATAAAAAAGCGTCTCCAAAATAATCAAATAATAATTTTTATTCTCATAAATTCAATATATTCAATTTCTATCCAGGCGAAGATTTAATGACTAACTTTTATACGTCTGATTTCAAACGAAGTTTGATAATAAGAATAATTTTACCTTATAATGAGAGCCATATTTATTTCATAATAGATACTTTGATTATGATTTTTGTAAAATTTTATTATTAATCTTACCCGACCTGATAAACAAACTTCTATATTAAATATCACCAATGTTAACGGTGTTCTGAAATTCATGGCTATGTATGGACGATGTAGCAAAAAATATGATTGACGATCCCATCGTGCTTTAGAAGAAACGTTACTATTGATCCGAGTTATCATTGGACATGACGACAGACTTTTTATAATGTATTGGACGTTATTATTATAACTTAAACTATCGCATTAAGTATTATTAGTAATTAAATATTTTATTGACAATCACACTATTATTAACATAGAAATAAAATATAAAAACATGGAAAGTCAGATAAATAATTGTGTTGTGGTATAAATCAGAAACCTGTAGTTGCGCACCCACTATAAACCAATTATATTGGTACTATCGCATCAGTACTTGTATATCGGTACCTGTTATATTGTGGGGAACGGCAGCCGATATTCAGTCTATATTTGTTTTACAAAAAAGGGCAATAAGAGCTATCTATCAGTGGGCTCGCGAATATCTCTTTGAGAGAAATTTAAAGAAATTGGAATATTGACGGTTGCATCTCAATTTATATATAGTTGTATACTTTTTGTCCGGAACTATATTAATGTGTATACCAAACATAGTGATGTACACAAACTTAACACTAGAAATAAAAACAAGCTAGTAATGCCTTCTTACAGGTTACAGAAGGTATTAGGTTCTTTCATGGGTCAAGGTATACAGTACTTTAACAAGATCCCCAGTGATGTATTAGATTTACCAATAAATCATTTTAAAAGTCATATTAAAAATTGTGTACAAAGTAAAGGATATTATACCGTTAAGGAATATCTGTTTTTACGTAAGTCCTGCAATTTGAGACATGTTTTCATACATTTTTCATCAAATTTATAACTATTTCAAGAGAGCGAGATTTATAAATAAAATCTGTTTGATACTCAAAGAAGAAGAAGAATGGTTATCCTGGATATCATTTATTTACTCACAATGTGGTCAATGATACATTACACGATCAGTTAATGTCCATATCGATGATCTGATGAGACACGAAAAGTGGTACCGATGGTGATGTGAGTAATAGAGGTGAAGCTAAGGAGGATTCAATGCCGATTTTAAAACACACCTATATGGTTCTTTGGGTGAAAGTGAAAAGACACTACAAAGTTAATAATATAGACATTCATCAAAATCTAATAATCAATTTAAATTATTAACTATAGAAACTACTCGTACATTATAAGATTAATATAGTTTTGAATGGCCTATACAAAATGTGTACATATTCATTAACTTTTCCTTTCTCGCAAAATCGGTTGAAGCAGATTTAGTGTATATAAAGAGTAAAACAAATAAGTATTATTAATTCCCTTCATTTATTATGTAACATTTCAGCTAGTACTTATCACGCCGCTGTGTAAGTTGCCAGCTCAAGCGGGTCATGCTACTCTTCACGCCATGGGATTGCATCATGAGAAGAAATTTGGGTTTCGAGACAACGAGGCTAAAGCGGTCATGTTTCCAGACAAATGTGCTCAACGAATTGATGCTTTAAAAATATTTGAAGAAACTTTGGATGATTTGTCACTACAGATTCATTCAAATGGACGTTGAATATAAAAAGAAGATCTTTTTCTAACCGTACAAACAAGTACTGAACTGAATTTTCATAATTCTCTCTGAAATTCAGTTCAGTACTTGTTAATTTCATTACATTATATATTTTTTACTATTATTAATAATATCCATAGATAATTTTTATTTTTCAACTGTATAATTTCAATGCTCTAAGTTATTCTTAATTATTTAAATCATCAAATAGCTATGGGTCTTTTATTATACAGGTGTACAATTTTGTTTCCGCCATGTATTTTGAAATTTGAGGCTTTATTGTCAAAAAAACCAGAGAAAAAAATTACGTACTCAAAGTATCACCACTGGCCACTACCTTCTTGCATCACCTCATCTATGAACCTATCCATTTTCCGACTTCTTCGTAATACTGGAAGTATTAATCAGCCAGGTTGTGTGATAATTCAAAGGTACATTTGGCGTGTACGACGGTTGGGGTATGAATTCACATTTTGACGTTTACTTGGCCACTTTTGCACTATGGGATCTAGCATTGTCATGCTGCATAATCTCGTGTCTCTTAGTATTTTATCTTTTAATCTCGGCTCAAATACATCAACTAAGTTTAGCACTCATTGTCTGTAACTGTGTCAATCGGTTTCAACAGTTCTTTTGAGTTTAACATGAGTCTTTATCAATACCTCCAATGCAGCATCTCCGAAACTCTACTACCACTATGGCAACTTGAGACAAAAAATATCACAGTTTTTGAAGCATTTAAACCATTCATGGTTTCTTTCACTAATAGTAGACTGACCATTAGAATTTGATAAGCACCAACCGCAGTTTTCCTCTTAACGAAGCAGAAAAGTGAAAAGTTAACATTTTCAATCAAATATAACTAAAATACAAATCCCATCAAAAAAATAACATGTACAAAATGCACAAGTCTCACAACGCAATATATTTGCAGTAAAGTTATGAAATCAACGTAAACCAAATCGATTAATTCAGTACCTATCTCTCTGTGATAGCAGCTATTCAACCTTGTCATAGATTTCACAACCAATATTCACCTAAGTACTTTTAAACAAATAAAGCACAGAGCCAATAACATTAAATAGATTTTTATGTAACATTATTTTACCATATTTATACGTTTGCCAAGTATTCCTTATTATATTATATTCCTCAAAAATGGCTTCGAGAAACGGATGATACGGCCGTGCCCTTTTTATTTTTTTACTTGACTTGTCGGGTGCATTACCGTGCCCCCAGATCGACTGATCTCATTTTTAGGTTACGTCGACAGCTGCTCAAAGTGTTTGTATAATGTATGATCTATTTACTTTCATCACTAATTACTACTAAAGACATCGGCCATAGAGAAACGGCTACAGCATAGCGCATAATTTACGGAACAATAACATTCGTTTCATAATAGAACAATACAAAACCTCACCCTTAAATCCCTACAACCACGAATGAAACATCAAATAACAAAAGTTCTTCTAACTCATGTTATTCAGCTTTATAAATTAAAGAAAACAACGACTAACAAAGTAAAAAGAAAAACTTGTTTAGAATTTTGAAACAAACATGGTTAAAAACTTATTGATTATTTTATAAGAAGCTATTCGAATACCTCCAGAAAAGATATTGCAGTCACCACTATGAGATGAACTTCCCCTCTCCCCTTTATATTAGTCTTATCAAAGCTACAGGGAACATTTTATATAATGGTAAAGGTCTTAGATACTGGTTAGGTTATTGTCCGCTCGGAGTGCGTTTGCTGGTTCGATGAACACTTTGTTTGCTATTCTATCTTCTGATCTCTAGACCCAAACGCTATATGATACGGAAATTTCTTTTTTCTACCTACCGTGATTCATATAAGGTCTATAATACTATGAAACATAAAACTCACTTCGAAATCAATCCGTATGATGTCAAAGGACTATTTATATTTAGTTTGAGAAGATTATTATATAAACTTACAAAGTCGGTCTCGTGGTATTTCATTTCCTATTAAAATTTCATTGAATGACTTCCTAATCTGCCCTATTCTTGCTCATACGTAATTTCCAACATTAAATGTTTCCCTTTGTAGCTAATTGTGACATAAAGCAATTCCTAGTAAAAACTAAACCAAATTCTGGGTCTTAGTTTTGATTAAATTTGAGAGATGCTTCGACAAAATAATTCATAAAAGGCTTTTCAACTAAATATTTTAAGTTTAATATTTTGTGAGTTGAAGAGTCTAAATTACATTACCTAAATCTGTGCCACGCTTCTAGTCGTAGATTAAGTCGTTGGTTCCAAATGATATAGATAATATCTACTTATTTAAAATTATTTGTTAATATACTGGTTCAAAATATCTAACAGTGATATATATAAACCTATATAAATGTACGTATTAAAATACAAAACACAGCAGTCCATTATAGTTCATAATAATATTTCTAATAATAATTTTTACATAGGGTAAAAACATAAAACTTACTGGAAACGAGTTTACGAACACACAAAATTACATGATCCTCAAAAAGCAATATAACAGAAACACATTTATATTACACTGAAGTTTAATTAGTCATTAATTATAATTCACAAATACAAACGACTGTTGTAGTTGATAATCCAACAGAAACGACGTTCAAAAATATTTTTTGTCGCATTCCAAATAATTTCAAACTATGGAAAAAGAATAATCAATAATTATATTTAAGATCATCGCGAATGTAAAGAGTTTAAATATGAAGAATCGTAGGTTCTTCATTTTAGATTATATACAATATGATATAATCTTAGATTATAATAAAAAAAAGAGTATGCTTCGTCAATTTGCACGTGTAAACTGATTATATAACGCGAAAGCACAAGCATGTAGATGAAAAGAATCGCAAATATAAATTGATGAACTTAATGCCAAAATTTAAAATTAGAACATACAAACTAAATGCAAACTAAATTTTTAGAAACACAGTATTAATATTCGTAAGTAGGTATCAATGTTAATACAAATATTTTTTATGTTTAAAAAATTGGTACATAAAACATATTTGTATCTTTAATGGCTAGCAATAACAGAAACGTTGCTACATATTTAGGGAAGCTTAACCCTCTCATGCCGTTGATTTGAACCATCAAACATGGACGTAACCCTTGAAATTGACAGCAATTTACTTTTGCAAAAGTGAAGTAATTAAAAATATATAAAATAACAATTAATAATTTTACAAAAAAGAAAAGGAACTATTTTTAATCGTATATACACTTTTTTTATTGTTTCTTTACAATTTTATTTGCAAAAATGATATGAAATCCACAGTCTTGTATATTTGAAATAAGTGGAAAATCAACAACAGTACAATAAATTGCGTAGATGTAGATATTAATACAGATATCTTTTGAATTTTTTCAAGAATGATAGCATTCATTTTTATTCGTATCTTCAAAGAGTATTGTACACATAGACACTTATAAATAAATAGCTTATTAATATCTGGAAAATATAAGTAACAGCGTGTCTGTTATTAATATTTACGGAGATACGGTGTTGTGGAACTGCTGCTAGTTGGCCCAAACGCTCTGTACAAAGTCAAGTCAACATATGAAGTCACACTTTGGTATGCTAGCGAAATATCTTATCTTTGTTATTCGTGGGCTTATGTTTATTGTCGTTGTAAAATAGTAAACACACTAATGCCATAGTATTTCAGAAAATGTGTGTAATATATATACCCTATTTTTTTCAAGTGTTCTGGGCGTAATTTTTTATGTAATATATTTATGTAAAAAGTATATATATTCTCCGAACATATCACAGAAACTTCTATTTTCGTTTGTAGCCAACATCCCAATCATATAAATGAATTGAATAATTTCTTCAAATTCAAATGAAACAATTTATTTGCATAATACTAGGTATTACATCAGATCTAAAATATTTGCTAATTGTGATTAAGCATGCAAATATTCAATTTTAGAATGTAAATTTAACCACTTATTTGTATTTTTTTTTTCCTAATAAAATAAAGTACTTAATTATTCACGGTAATCTCAAAATATGAGACACCTTGCAATAAAATTCATTTTCTAGAAATTTATTTATTTACTCTACTAGTATGAAACGCTACTGTGTAATCATACATTTCTCAGAAAATTTCAAGTAAAAGAAACGCAATTTTGTCAAAAGCAGCTCCACGATTTTGCGAGTTTTTGCAATGAATGGACTCGTTATGAACACATCTTTATATCGCAATGTCGAATTCAAGAAACAATATTTTTGTACTTTGAATTTAATTTGCTATTTTTTTTTTTTGCTACAATATTATTAATATTTCAGTAATTTGCTCTTAAAATTATTTTTTCAGCCCTTTTTTCGTTTATTTTAGAATGTATAGGTATATTTATTATAATAATTTGATAGGTGACAGCTGAAAATCTGTGTACACAATTCGAGCTGACATATTTTAGATGCCGCACAGGATGCATCCTCTATTGTATTATAATTATTCTATTTTCATTAAAAATGTTTTCATTAAATTAATACATTATAAAGGATCATACGTTTAAAGTTGTACATTATAATAACTGGAATAAAATTATAAACTACTTAAGTTATAATATGGGGAAAATTGTAAAATCATATTCACATTTCTTTTCTCACTTTTGTACTAACTATCAGCTAACATCGAAGTTAAAGAAAGAACATAATTCTACTTTACCGTAATTTTAAGACTCTTCAAATAAACATGAATGTTATTTAATATTAATTTAAATATGAAATTTAACAAAAATATATTTTATACAGAAATGCGCGATCTCTATGTTAGATTTTTCTATACAGAATATGTTTTTTTATTTTCATATCCCAACTTTTCCACCACTAAAGCAAAAAAAATTGTATTATTAATAAGGAAATAGCAAAAAAATACCATTTTTTTATTTATAATACTTAATGTTTTCGCTTTTAGGATCGGCTTTGCTTTTGAATGATTTAAATAAACTACTCCAAACTGCTTTAGTACAAGCAA